GATGAAGATATGGGTTAAATGTTGATTCTTCTTATTGACATCAATATTATTCTTTCCTGGCCCCTACTTGATTTTGATTTATTGAAATTGCAACAGTGCAATACACGTGGGACAAAGGCAGCTATTGCTGGTGTTCTGTCCCTCACATAGAAACAAATACAGGACACTCATCTTCAGTTGAGTTTTAACTACTTAAAAGTGGGGAAGGTCTTGTAAAATGCCTTTCCCAAGGGCACAAGATTGGTGGCATGTCAGGACTCGAACCCGGGACCTCTTGGTTCCGAGTCGAGCACGCTGCCATTGCTCCACACGACTTGAGCTCCCCTCTGACAAACTTGCCCAGATGTAGCCTGTACTGCTGTAGTCTTGTGGCTTAAGCAGGCTTCTAAGTTCAGGGCTGGAAAGGAGCATGGAAAATGTTTTGAGTGGGAGGCATAGAAAAATGTTTGACGATACTCCCAATACACTGGCCCTCTAAGCCTGCAGAATATGTTACAGTCTCTAAATTGTGCTGTCTTGAGTCTTCCTACTGTCCTGGGACTTCAAATGAAGAGGTTATAAATTACTTTGTCCTTTTAGTCAGGGCTGTACCTGCACATTTTCTGGAATAGAAGCAACTAGACTAAGAGATGGAAATAAATTATTCATGGTAATTTTAAAATTGTGGCTATTATAGAATTTTGCCTCAAAGGGCATACCATTACCATGTACAGTATAAAAAAATCTACTTTTGACTGGCTGTATGTATGGATTATTACAACAGTGTAAAATGTTGTTCATTGAACAACATTTTATGCTCAAGCAGCAATATCCATATATATATTATAAATAAACAGCTCTGGAGGGGAATGGAGAAATTAGTACGTCATCTAGTATAGAATGACGCACCCAACCTATAAAAATTGAGTGCACAAAAATTTTTTCGGCTGCACCATATAAATAAGATACTATAAGTAGGATGTCACTCAGCAACAACTAGTTATGTTTCATTTTAAGCAGTAGTACAAGAATTATTATTGATTTTATTATTTTTCTGACACTTAGATGTTAAGAATATGCTATATACTAACTACAGTACTTTTAACATCCTGACATACGTAAACCTGTGGGTCTCCCTCCAGGAGCGACGAAGAATCGCCAGACTTGTAACCTTCTACAAGTACCACACCGGTGCACTGTGCATCAACCTGTCAACAAGGCCCACCCTCAGTGCCCAGACCAGGGCTACTAGGCAGTCTCATCCAGCAGCCTATAAGGTCCCTTACAGTAGGACCTCCTATAGGCAGAATTCATTCTTCCCGAGGACAATCTCAGATTGGAACGATCTTGAGGCAGATATTGCTCTCTCCTCTTCTTTGGAGGAGTTCAGATGTAAGATCTAAAATCTGAACCCCCAGCATGCACCTAGTACCAGTTTTATAGGCAGTAGAATCTTCAAATTGATGAAGGCGGCTGCCTCAAACGAAAGAAGAAGAAGAAGAACCTACAAAAATATTGGATGCACTGGTGCACCCACAGAAAAAAATTGGGTGCACAGCTCCAAATTTGGGTGCCCTAAGGTGCACTTGCACCCAGTATTTTGAGCCCTGTATGGTGATGCAGTCTTGTAACCACTATTTTCCAGATAGCCACAGTTTGAAAGTTCAGTATTCCGGGTAGGGTTGCATGTGGATGTTTGTTGCCCTTGACTACTTTCACAGAGACAAGTACAAGTTGGTACAGCAGGACCAGGTACAACAGTTGAGAACTCACTCAGCGCGGCGGAAAGAACAGGACAGGGCTAAAGCACTCCGACAGGAAACTCTGCGCAGGAGAAAGTAAGTCCAAAACAGTTTGTTCCCAAATTCTTTCTGATTTTAGACAATGTTATGGCTCCTCCACAGACAGGCTGGTTACTCAGCTGGTTATATAACATTTCAGTGTTCGAAATACCTGTCTGCAGTCTGCAATCTGCAGATAGATTTTCAAGATTGCAGAAGAAAAATTTATACAATCTGCAATTTTGCAGCAGGAAAAATTGGCACTTGGGATTTGGCGCTCTTGGCCCCAAGGACAGACAGACAGCTCCTGTTCTGAAACAACAGGAGCTTCTTCACTAATCTGCATCAACCTTGTCTTGACTTGTCTATCTTTTGTTTCTTTTTGGACTTCCAAAAATTTGTCTTCACTAATTTGCATATCAATCAATAGTTCATGCATATAAACCTGCAAGATTGTAGTATAGAGGCTTGTGTATTTGCAGAAAGTATTTCCAAATTGCAGAACAAAATTTTGACTCTTCTGCAATATTGCAGAGCACTGCATTTCATATAGCCGGGTGACGTTGACCAATCAGAAGGCTCCATTCCACATGTCACAAATAGAGTCAAAACCAGGTCATTATTCATCCCAATCCATACATTAAACAACCCAATAATCACCCGCATATGACCTCGGGTGACCTAAATAGAACACCCCTCTGTTCTAAAAAATCTAAAAATAACTTGAGTTGTGTTCCAATGACCTCGGGTGACTCCCATAAGAATACATGTTCCCTGCCTTTGACCCAGATAGAACACGACCCTCCCACAGTGACCTCATGTGACTCCAGATGGAACTATGTTCTATTTAAGTTTGTATGTGTTATACAGGAATGTGTCACTCTTTACTGTGTACGTTTCGATAGGCTATGTGATAATAGCGTTAATGTCATAAAGCCACTCAGTGCGCTCACTCAGTGGCTTTATTCAGTGGTTATGGCAACTAACAATATCACACAATATTCACCTCGGGGCGGGTCATTAACCCTTAAATATTGGATAATCACCTTCAACTAGCTAAATATCTGCCTCATCTTTTCACACGTACATACCGATACATACTGTGTCGGCACTTGTCAAATTTTCATTAAGGCCATGTTGATTTGATTATATGGATGACATCCGCGCGCGCATGAATTTTCGGCCGTTTCCAAAAAAAAAAGTTTTCAATCATACTGTAAATCGTGCAGAACAGTTGCTAAATGAGCCAAAAATATACCATAAGTTGCAAGGAAAACATTTAGAAACGATACCAATGTCGTAGAATGCCAAATTCAAAGGAAAAAAGACAAAAATGTAAAGAAATGAATTCGAAGAGTAGATTATTCGCCATAACATATTCTGTGCCATTTGTTCAACCTTCATGACCACGTAGATTTCATAGTGAAAGCAACTTTTTTTTTGCAAAACTTTTTTTTATTCGCACGCGCGCATCAGTTTTGGGGTTCCCAGAGGATGTCATCCATATAATCAAATCAACATGGCCTAACTCTCAATAATAACTCTCTCTTTTCCAGTGCTAACTTGTCATAATAGTCAAAACAGTCCACCTAGCTAGAAAATTATTGCAGCATATGTATAATATTTTCTTGTCCTTGACAGGGCATTAGAGGACAAGAAGAAGCATGATGCTGAGAAGGAGGCCAAACGCCGTGAACAGGAGCTGGCGAAGAGACGAGAACGTCAGCAGGAAGCCACAGAAAAATTCCAGCGGGCTCATGTCAGACAAGGCTCTGCACGAGGTACACTGCATGTACAACATCTCACTTTATACTAAAACTATAATAATAGTGTTACAGCAGAATAGTGCTGTGTAATGGTTCACTGGACTTGGATCTGGACTTGTACGAATGTTTAGGTTCAAGTAAAAAAAAACTACTAGTAAAAGTGAAGAACCGAGTCCGAACTTCGTACAAAAAAAAATTTCACATTCCGCTTTTCTTTCCAAACCACCTAAGACCTTCCGTAGATTGCAAAATCTTTGCTGCAAAATGAAGAAAACATTGCCATCGGGCATCGTCAAGTATCAGCCTACATGTTATGTGGCCAAAGTTTAGCCCGAACAACATTGCAAGGTTGGCATGAAAGTTCATCTGAGTTGGTAAATTACATAATGAAAAATTTTAAACTGTTCTCCAACTCATAAATTTCACTCACAACATTGCAAGGTTGCCCACATGCAATTTTATATGCCTTCGGTTTAGGTCCGGACTTACATGTCCGGAACTGAACCTAAACCTCTGGACTTGAATCTGGACCTGAACCTAAATGTGGGTTTAGGTACACAGCACTACAGCAGAATCATTCATTGTCTCTATATATTCAAGGTGTACCTTTATTATGGTACATACATGTACATTGTAGCACGTTGGCAGAACGTATTGTGTCTGTGGGAAACCCTGATTTTTTAATCATTTTCGATGGATATTTGGTCACCGCTGCATGAGAATTTTGCCTGTTGCAAAGGACATCTTTTCCGAAATAACGTTTGGAAACTACAGACGGGATGTTAGGTGCGGTACGGCAGGTACGGTATGGTACATGTACCAGCTAGCAAAAATGTGCCATTTGTGATGGAATCAACATGATGAAGTTTTTTAACAGGGTTTGAAATAATTTTATGTCAGATTCCCCATCACCCATCTCTAATAAAGTCTTACATCATGACTTGCACAGTGAGAGTGGGTATTTTGAACTCTGTGTAATCATACATATTAACAACTGTATTTATTCTTTTGTTTATTTGTGCTGTTTTAGGCCGGAAATCCCGCACCCCGACTTTAGACGAGGTGTTACGACAGGTACGCGGGACGTCAAGAGCATCGCCGATATCTGGTACAGCCACAACATCCGCCAACACCTCCGCACGGACCGTCTTTTCAAGGTACTGACTTCTGCTGGTGGTGTTGGTACAAGTCATGTTACAGTGCAGTTTCCATTAGGCCACACCGTCTTAATTTTATGGATGACATCCTCTGAAGATCCCCAATATAAAACTATATAACTATAAAAAATTAAAAATGCTACTAAACCAAAAAATAAAAATGCTACTAAACTTGTATACGACAAACCGGCACATGCTGGCTTTTTGCGGAATTTATGAATCGGCACTGTACGGTACAATGTATGTACTGAGTTCTTAAATTGCGGCGCTTCGGTAGCCGGGTGCCAGGCTCCGTATTGTCGCTAACTACCATGGACTACCCAGGCCTAGAGCCAGGCCAGAGCCTCGGTGGACGTGATCTTCTTTCTTTCTTTTTTTTAATTTGTTTTTGAGAACAGACGAAAATCAATGCACGCGAGGATGTCATCCATAAAATTAAGTCGGTGTAGCCTTAGTACAGTGTAAAAATTAGGACTGGTTGCCCATCAGAATTTTAGGTTGCCCCACCTATAAGTTACTACTTTCCTCAAATTAAGTAATGTTACATACATAAGCCTTTGACGATATTTCTAACAGCCTTTAGTACTAGTTAACTGATACTAGCATCTGCCAGATACAGTGGTGCAAGCCAAGTGGCATGATTTGGGGGGGGGGGTATTGTTAAAATTCAGGTAGCACACTGGGCTGCCAAGGTTCAAAAACAGGTTGCCCCAAGTAAAATTTGGTTGCCCGGGGCAACTGGGCAACCTGGTATTTTGCAGGCTGATTAAAGACTTGATTTCATAGCCATACGAAGACTTTTTTCTCAGATTGCTCACTAGGCCCAACAATAGTTCATGTACATTTTTTTGTAGCTGTCAACACTGACTGTTCATTTTAGAAGGCAAGTCATAAACCAGGCCGCCTGTAAATGTATTGCCCACATGCTGGTTGAGGAGGGAAACAAATTATTTCAGAACCCAGAACTCTCCAGTATGTGTCCAACAGAAACCATGACTTGCACGGCAACAGTGGGTACTAGTACCTGTTTATGAACGTTAGGTTAGACATCCACAATCAGTCTGAGTCCTTCTGATATTCTGTGCGAAAGAAAAAACACTCATCACCTTGTTTTATAATCAGGCCACACCAATTTAATTTGTTGTTTCTCGGATTTGCCCTGTCCTTTTTTTTCTGATTTGCACAAAAAAAATTTGTATGGGTTCTATATCAACTGCAAAATGCTCAATGAAAGACATATTTGGCTCCAACGGTTGAAAAAAAACTTTTCCTAGTTTCAATGTAACAATGCAATTTTGTTTCATTAAAAGTTCAAAATCTATTGTTTTAATTATTAAACCAGCCTGGTATGTTCACTTGATGGCTCATATTGTAACATTTCCGGCTATCATGGGGTGCCTTGGCCTGTTTTTTTTATCTTGCCCTGTCGATTCATATTTTTTTGGAAAAAAAAACGAGAAACAACAAATTAAATTGGTGTGGCCTCACTTGTATGTGAATAAAACATTAGATTGACATGTTGATTTCTATTGCATTAGGAAATATGGTGGAAGCAATCCTGACCTGTCCATGGAGACTGGTGCTAGTCCAGGTCTGCAGTATGGGAAACTCACGGCAGAAATGCGCACCACAAGTGAGCGCAACTTGGCCAGCAGCAAGAAAATGTTTGAACAGCAGCTGGAGGAGCAAAACCGTCTTCTTGCTGAACAACAACAGAGGACAATAAAGGTGGGCTGTCATTGTTCTTTAGTACCTAATGTCTATTGCACATCCATTATAGACATTTGATTTCGATGATAACAGTCAGGTGCTGTTGGTATTCCTTGTGTGATGGGGTTGACAGTTTAATGTAACAGTTGTGTTTAACAGGAGCTCCATGAAGTGTTGTATAATTCTATATGAATGTATGAATGACAGTTTAATGTTGTGTTAACCAGGAGCTCCATGAAGAGGTGGAACATCTTCGGCGCAGCTCCAGTCTCTCCAGTCTGGACAGCCTGGAGGAGAAGTCCCACCCTGCATACAGGACAGACCAGACCATCAGTGGGATCACCGTCGACTCCAAATACACAGATCCAAACTACGTATCTCAGGGTTTGTATGCACAAGGAACACCTGCTGCTAGGGCGGTATATGACATACCATATGGACAAGATTACTCTTCAAGTTTGGTGACTGACTCTAACTTTAGACGGCAGGCAGGTTACCAGTACCAGACTGGACATGATACAAACTTTCAGGCTAATGGCTACTCTCACATTGCTGGGCAGCAGCAGGCAATCCTGGGCAGGCCCAGAGATGCAGAGACTGAGCATGGGCCACAGCTCAATGCATTTTCAAGTGCCACAAGTGTGCCCACAAACAGTGGATACTCAGGAGGCAGGAGTTTCCTGGGTGTGTCGGGGGTGAGAATACAGACTGCCGCCGGGACGTCTGCTTCCTCTGCACAGCAAAGACTTTTCACAACCGCCGCGGGGGAGCGGGGGGGTTTCCCACCCTCGGGTGCAGGGGATTCCAACCACCATACCTACGTCCAGGACGGGGAGGAACTACAAGTGGAGGAAGCTAATGAATTAGTCCATGATACTCTGGCAAAAATGCCACAAGGTATGACAGGCATGGGCTATGGGACTAACAACAGAACAGTGGCACAGACTCCCTACTCAAACCCCAGATATCGCTTGTTATTCTCTCAGAAAAAGGCTTGGGGCACACCCACCTTGCAGGGAGAGGAGATAACAACAACACCCAACAGTTCAGCAATAAGTAGTGCAGCTGTCAGCTCTACTGTCACTCACAGTACAGCAGCTGTCAGCTCTACTGTCACTCACAGTACAGCCCGTGTGATTCCCACTGCCACCACTACAACAGTCTCCCAAACCACAAGGACTAACTCTGCCACACAATCTAATGGCACTAACAATGCCTCAAGTGTGTCTCAGACTTCAGTTACAAGACCTACAAGCATCTACTCTAAGCCACTCTTGAACTACTCTAGGGTGACAGAAAATGCTGTCATTAGTAACGGTGTTCACAGCCAGGCCAACGGATACTCCAGGACTGACCACGACAGAGAGAATTCTGCGGAAAGGCTCACAAGTTACATCCCAGCAAGTCACGGCAGGACAGGGTCAGGAGCGGGGATCTCGGTCAAGGGTCACGCTGTCAGCTCAGAACAGCAGGGTTCAGGTCAACTACAGCTGCATGACACCCAGAAACGGCTGGAACTATTAAGGCAAGAAAGGGATGCTCAGCACATGAATGGAATATTGCAGAAGGCAACAGAGGAGGAACAAGAGAGCGACCATCAGTCAGATGTGGAAGAAGAGTTGGAGGAAGAGTCAGAACCAGAGCCTCCAAAGCCTAAGATTATTAAAGGGATATTGAAAAAGAAATCCAAGTATGAATCCCATCCCTCCAGACCCTTCAGTGTAGTTATCACAGGGGGGAGGCAGATCCAGGATAGTGTGGACTTGGCAAAACAGGAGAAGAAAAAGCGTGGTATTCGCTGGGTCGACCTGACTTATGATGATGATGATAACGAAAGAAAGAATGATGACAAGAAGCAGACAAATGCTCCCCAGTCTGTAGGGACAAGGCCACAGCCGAGCACACAAACCTCCAGGCCAACAACAACCCCCGAAGCCACCGCCATTCAGAACAGACCAGCAAGGTTGCAAACAGGCAGGCGACGGGTATCCAGTGCAGGGTCTGTACGGAAAGCAATATTAGCAAGAGCTAAAGCTGCATCTCGACAAGGCACCATAACAATCCATGCTAATGACACTGGCAGCAGCCAACCTGCACATGATGATGCTTCTGTTGGCAGCACTGTTGGTGACCACGGTGGAAAGCCAAGTAATCGTCAACTCAGTGTCTCAACTTGTAGTTACTCCATACAAAGTGCACCCAGCCAGCCACAAGCTTCTACACACATGCCCAGGAAGGTAGAGAACACAAAACAGTCCAACACACAACAGATAAAAACAGAAAATGAAAATGAAATCTACAGTGCCAATGGACTTCGTCTTGACAAGACACCTACAGACGATGAAATAAACTGGCTTTGGGACAAGGTTCGGTCCTGTCTGAACCAGAGACCTGACCGTGCAGGAATGGATACAGAGCCTGGAGTATCAACAGCTTCTACAACTAAACAGGTACATCACATGTATTCACCATCTTACATTACAACTTGGTGATAAATAATTTAAGTTAATGATAATAAGAATGATAAATAATTTCATCTGGTTTGTGAATGATTCAATATCAAGTTCTTTATTCACAACCACCTGTTAACAAGAGCCGACGTTTCGATGACCGTCTGTCATCTTCATCAGGGCAAATATGACTGGTTCTCTGCTAACTGAAGCTACAATGTTAACTTTAACAATACAAAGTAATTGTGACAACAGTGACACATTATATAATATGTTACAACCTAGTGAGATATGCAGTTTTATGTGTTAAGTTTTGTTATTATAATAATAAATTACAGGAGTCTAAATCCCTCCTGCTATAGAATTGCAACATAATGTAACCCAACACTAGTTACCATGGTAACAGACAGTCTGGTTCAGGTCATTAACCTTTTACAATATATTTTGTTAACCAACAATATACATATTGTTAGAATAATAATGATAATTTTGTCCAATAATTGTTATTTCCTGTAGGACCCTGCTGTATCAGGCAGCCGACAGACAGCTCAGATGTCCCAGCTGACCCTGGACGGCGGCAGACTGGCAGGTTCTGATGTTAGACTGAGAACCATGCCCAGGGTGGGGGGGTTCACATCAGCACCTCCCGCAGGTACCTACAACTGGTTATTAGGCCTAGGAAAAATGTTATATGTTTCATGTTTCAGTCCTGAAAAAATTAGGGTCGGTAGGTAGGGATTATCTTTTTTTTTTTTAAACTTCGGCGACCTCTAATGATACTAACTTCACCAAGTAAAAAGGACACCTATATTTTCAATGGCAATGTTAGAAAACCAACTGTACAGTAAATAGCAAAGTTCTTTTTATCACAACCATTTATTTTACACCAGCTGACGTTTCGATGACCGTCTGTCATCTTCATCAGGGCAATTCTGACTGGTTTGCTGTGCACTGACACTAGATGTTACTTGGTGCATAGTGCACTAAAGGTGTTACATGGTTCATAGTGCACTTAAACTAGTTTTTTCTGTTTACCATACATTCCGGGACGTAGTGTAATTGTGACATATATTATATACTAGGTATTGTTACATATAGGGAAATATGTGCTTCCAAATGTAAAGTGCTTCTATATATAAGATTTGTTAACTGACAATACTGAGCTACATGTATTACAGTCCCAAATAGAAATTATTAAAAAGTCTTGTTACATATGTATTCAATTTGTTAATAACCATAATAGTTACAACTAGTTGCAACTGTACAGTATTTCATGAATTCAATTTTGCCATGTTGTTCTGTCAGCTGTGCTGACTGCCATATTGTTCTGTCAGCTGTGCTGACTGCCATATTGTTCTGTCTGCTGTACTGACTGCCATGTTTTTCTGTCAGCTGTACTGACTGCCATGTTGTTCTGTCAGCTGTGCTGACTGCCATATTGTTCTGTCAGCTGTGCTGACTGCCATCGATGTTGTCNGTCAGCTGTACTGACTGCTATGTTGTCTGTCAGCTGTGCTGACTGCCATGTTGTTCTGTCAGCTATGCTGACTGCCATGTTGTTCTGTCAGCTGTGACTGCCATGTTGTTCTGTCAGCTGTACTGACTGCCATGTTGTTCCTGACTGCCATGTTGTTCTGTCAGCTATGCTGACTGCCACGTTGTTCTGTCAGCTGTACTGACTGCCATGTTGTTCTGTCAGCTGTACTGACTGCCATGTTGTTCTGTCAGCTGTGCTGACTGCCATGTTGTTCTGTCAGCTGTACTGACTGCCATGTTGTTCTGTCAGCTGTACTGACTGCCATGTTTTTCTGTCAGCTGTGCTGACTGCCATGTTGTCTGTCAGCTGTGCTGACTGCCATGTTGTTCTGTCAGCCGTGCTGACTGCCATGTTGTTCCTGACTGCCATGTTGTTCTGTCAGCTGTACTGACTGCCATGTTGTTCCTGACTGCCATATTGTTCTGTCAGCTGTACTGACTGCTATGTTGTTCCTGACTGCCATGTTGTTCTGTCAGCTGTACTGACTGCCATGTTGTTCTGTCAGCTGTACTGACTGCCAAGTTGTTTCTGACTGCCATGTTGTTCCTGACTGCCATGTTGTTCTGTCAGCTGTGCTGACTGCCATGTTGTTCTGTTAGCTGTGCTGACTGCCATATTGTTCTGTCTGCTGTACTGACTGCCATGTTTTTCTGTCAGCTGTACTGACTGCCATGTTGTTCCTGACTGCCATGTTGTTCTGTCAGCCTGGTACTGACTGCCATGTTGTCCCTGACTGCCACGTTGTTCTGTCAGCTGTACTGACTGCCATGTTGTTTCTGACTGCCCTGTTGTTTCTGACTGCCATGTTGTTCCTGACTGCCATGTTGTTTCTGACTGTCATACTGTTCTGTGCCCAGGAGGAAGAAGAAGAACAGCCAGTGACAGCACCAGTGCCTCTGTACGTCGTAACGCCCTCCTGCAGCAGAGGAACCAGCAGAGAGCAAACACCTTACAGAAGCCCCCGACTCCCACAGCCCAGCAGGTCAGGGTCACGGACATCTCCCAGGTACTCACACCAGTCCATTGTACACACACACACTTGGAGCTGTGCACCCAAATATTCTTGTGTTTATTGTTTTGTTTATTGAGGTGTACCATGGAAAAATGAGGGGTCGTGAGCAATGAATAACATGAATATAATTCTTATATTTTTTTATTGCCCGGCCTCAGCTGGTTTCACTGGTTCGTATTTTCGTTCATACATTTAAGACATTTCAGAATGCATAGCAGAGCAACGTGAAACCAGGTCCCAGGTAGTCACACCAGTCCAGTGCACGGATTGTGCAGACTGTTTTGCTACATGTGTGCAGGGCTCGATATACATTGTACTGGGTTCGTGTGCACCCTAATGCACCCAAATGTTTTTGAAGGTTTACATAGTTACATGTATGTTAAGATGTTCAATGTATAATTAGTGTACAGCATATTATTAACATCTAAGAGTCAGAAAAATAATAAAATCATTGTACAGTTGTACTTTTCTTGAGTAATTGAACATGATAAGTTTTTGCTGACATTGTACTTGATTTAACATTTTATATGGTGCAGCCAAAAAACTTATTATGCACCCAATTTTTTAGTTTGGGTGTACCAATGCACCTTTTCCCAGAAATGAATTTCAAGCCCTGAGTGTGCCTGTTGTAGATCCCCATGATTTAAGAGCATATGACACCACTTACACTGAAATACAACAGTCCAGCAAATTGTCAAAGTATTATTATTCAATGAACAAAGATGTTTGGATGTCAGTATCTGACATTGAAACCGCCAATTATCTGTATACGAGCGGTCGTTGTATTTTTTACGTCATACACATGCAAATTATTTGAGGACATATGCAAATTATTGGCAGGAAAATCAGCCAAACGTCATCCGCTTGCACTCACTGGCCGTGATGTCATGGCAATTGCTCTCATTCTGGTTCCTTACAAATTTTCAGTTTCACCTAATAGTATGCACAATTCTTGGCTAAGATACTTGATGATGAAGACCAACAGATTCTGTCAAAAATTACAAAGAATAAAATTCCTTCAGCTGGAGAACAGTGTGTTGGAGAACATTATGTAAGTTACCATTACCTCAGATGAACTTCCATGCTGACACATGTACATTGTTTAATGTTAAAACTTTATAATTTGATCCAACACAAAAATTCTCTCACCTAGAGCTTTCGACCAGTCACTCTGGTCTTCCTCAGTAGACTGACCCAGTGAAGCTTGTCACGTGGCTTCTTTGAAGTGTGACGTCAACACTGGGTCAGAGGTATCTGGTAGTTGATGTCGACCCCCGTCGCGGTTCAATGTACATGTACAACTACCAACACACTGGTGAACTTTCATGATAGCATGTACATTGTGTTGTTTCCCAGCAGCCTACTTCAGGCCCCATCCCCAGTACCCAGGAACCAGGCAACAGGACAGGTCCGACTGACAGTGAGGTGACAGAAAGTCTGGCTGCTTTCCTGGAGGCTGAGTACATGTCTGACCAGCCTATCTCTGAAGCTGAGATTGCTGCTGCACTAGATGCCATGCACAGCAGACAGACAGGACAAAAGGGTTGGTACAAATGTACACATTATCTGCTTTTCTGTATCTGTCTCTGTATAGCCAGCTCTTTGGCATAACACTAGCATCGCAGGCATGCGGCGCGGCGGCAGCTGGCTACATTACACTGAATGGCTAGCCTTTTAACATCTAACTCTAAACATTGTTTAAAGCTATCTAGTGATGATGCCCCTACTGTAACACATCAACTTCTTTGATAAAAGCAGATCATAATGTATCTTGCATGAGTGTTGAAGCTGGTGTACATTGTATACATGTAGCTGCCTTAAGTTTGTAATTTCAATTAGTACAAACTGTGGCCTAACTTGGTTTGTGGTTACAGCACCAAGTGCACTGTCCATGGAGGAACAGAGACTTCTACAGTCTTTAGACAGACTCAATCAAAGGTTAAAAGGTATGTTTCTATTGAGGCAACAAAAGCTGTATGTAAGGAATGGTTGAGAAAGGAGCATAAGGGAGAACAGACATAGAAAAGGGCTAAGAGATTTGAGATTCTGAAATAAAATAATTACAGGTACTGCCAGTATTCAATATTCAATTTGATGGAATACAATACAACATATTAGACATGTAATGCCTTGATTGTTTGTTTGTAAAGAATGGGGCAATTAGGTACTTGTATTTGTTGATTTTAGCTGTAATGTTTTCAGATTTATTCCATACATGTACATAGTTAAACATCAAGATGTCTAAAACAGAAAAATACAAAATTTTTTCATACAAATTGAATGCACATGTGCATGCTTACTTCCCAGTCTTTAACCTTGTTGTTTCCGTCTAGTTACAGAAACTATCACCCAGAATGTTTCAACCAACATGCCACAAAAACCACCACTCCACGTAAGACCTATTCCTACATAAATTGTGTAGTTGCAAAGTGCACTCTGTAGACAGTTATGAGACTGACACTCTGTGCACAGGGTCTGTAGGTACATTGTACCTTTGTTCTGTAAACTGTACAATGTAGGTTGTTTTGTAGACTGTTGTGTTCGAGACTGTTAGTTCTTATGCCGGGTCTGTAACCATGTATTAAATAGACAGATGTAGTTCTATAGTGTTACACAGATTCTCTACTTGTAGATGTCTAATATGAAATTGGCTCAGACCACACCAGCAGAGCCATGTCTGTGGAACACTTGTCTGTCTCAGTGTGGTTGAATTCTTCCAACATACAGTAACTGTTACAATAAACTTCATTTCTTGAGAAATCATGCATCGCAGCTGTAGCTTGCAAAATTTGAATATCTTTCTTGCATTGCCATATTCTCTTGATGTTTCAAAATTTAATGTTACAGTTAGTAGCAACCATGTGTAAAGGTAATGTATACATTTTGTACATGTACATGTGTATAATCATCTGTGCCTGTTTCTGCACTCCAGCCGGGAACCAGGAATGCCCAGTCCAAGCCCAAGCGGGTGATGTCAGCCACTACCATGGGACCTCGCTATCACTTCAGAACAGGCTCTGCTGACACCAACACACGCTCCAAGAAAACCTATGTCTACCAGTAAAAGTTTTTTTTTCTTTATCTCTAATGTCACAAACATATTTCAGTCATCCTTGGATATTTTCAATCGTGCTTCATGTTGTTTAAAATGGCTACATTTGCATGTATACACAAACACACATTCATACAATTTTTTACTCGTATTTTCAGTCCTAAGGGCCAAACTGTACAATTGTGTACTATTTGCCTTGTACCTCCCTGAATGCCATACTGTGATTTTCTTGAACTCTTGAATAGCCACTGATATCAGAGAAGAATCTGTGGAAAATCATTACATTGATGGAGGCTCAATCTCCAGGCAAACAGCATTTGTCAAAGAATACATAATTATTGATATTGGATAAGATACAGATAACCTGGGACAAGTATACATTTAAGTGCAAATATCACTGATACATACATGACTGACATACAATTATGTATGTAAGAGTCTCTGGTTCAGTTGTATCCCACCAAGATTAATCTCTTATAAGCTAAAGAGGCGATATTCATCAATTAGGCCACACCAATTCAATTTCTTGGTTAACAGATTTTTCTAGAAAAATAATGGAGCGGGCGGGCGAAAAAAATAAAAACAGGCCTAGGCATCCTATTATGGCCCAAAATGGTACGATAGGAGACATGAAGTCAATACACCAGGCTGGTTCAAAATTTAAGCAATGAATTTTGAACTTTTACTGATACCATTGCATTGAAAGATGGAATAACTGTAACAACTATGAAGAAAAAGACTGTTTTCAACTGTTCAGGGCAAAAATATGAGCATTTTGCAGTTGATTCTGAATTTTTATTTTTAGTTGCAAATGAGAAAAAAATGAAGCGAGCGAATCTGTTAACCAAGAAATTAAATTGGTGTGGCCTTAGGGTAATATTACAATGTCATGTACCTACAGAAATGACTTAGTCTAGCACCTTAAAGTTTGTTGTCAGAGCTGTAACTTAGTGTAAGTTAGAGCAATTGCATGACTTAATGTACATGTGTAGGACAGTGGAAGCCTGTGTGTTTGAGCTGCATATTTGCCACAGTAAAGTGACCACATGGTGTCTAACTGTACATTGTACTATAAGTGCAATAAGAATACACCATGTGTCTGACTTGATACATGTATGTTGAACAAGTCCTTTGAGTAGACCTTTAGGTCTGTATTGCAAAGTTAGAGTAAGATTCTTGGCCATGCTTTATACACATGAAGGTTTTGACTTGATGACACTTTGGCAATGACCAAAAAAAAAAAAAAGGAAAAAAAACAAACAACTTTTTGCATGAAGTTGAAGTGTTTTGTAAAGGATTTTACATTGTACTTTGATATATCCCAGAATCATGTTAAGATTTGTATATTTTTATGGACAAAGTTGTGAATGATTCTTGGTAATTAGTAAAAGCTGTTAGTGAATTGTACTGTTTATATTTGTGACTGTACAAATTGTTATTGTTTGAGATGTGGAATTTCTAAAGTAACTGTATCACGTGACTCAGAATTGATGTTTGAATATTAAAAAGATCAAGATTGAAACCTATCTGGAAGTTTTAAATTGTGCAATCTGTTACTGAGTTATATCACTAGAGGTTCTTCCCATTCACCCATACATACAGAATACTAAAATGCAACAACATCTATTCCAACGTCCGGATTCTGTATTCGAATTTTCGAAAGGGGCACAAGCGGGTAGGGCGAAACGCGTTCGAATCGTTTTATGGAAGCCATGGAAGCGTTCGATAACGGGTTCCGGCCCGGAACCAGTTATCGAACGTTATCTCGGCCCGGGTATGATATAAATGCATGTATAATATAATTTATCATATAGCCAGGTGACGTTGACCAATCAGAAGGCTACATTCCACATACCTTATGACACTGTAATGTCACAAATATATTAAAAATCTGGTATTTATTCATCCCAATCCATACATTAAAAACCCAATAATCACCCACATATGACCTCAGGTGACTCAGTAGAACATGGCTCTAGTTCTAAAAAATCCAAAAATAACTTTTGTTCAAAGTTGTGTTCCAATGACCTCAGGTGACTCCCATAAGAACACCTGTTCCCTGCCTGTGACCCAGTTAACCTGAACTCTACCCAGTGACCTCAGGTGACTCCAGATGGAACTATGTTCTATGTTCTATTCAGCATGTGCATTGTGTCACTTACTGCATCAGTTTGGATAGGCTATGGTGTAAGCTATATGATAGTAGCGTTAATGTCCTGCCCTTTCTCGGTGAATATGGTGTGATAAAGTCTTGTCAGCTGCTATAACCACCTCAAAAGCCACCTCGTTTGCTGCGCTCACTTGGTGGCTTTATTCGGTGGTTATAGCAACTGACAAGGCTTTATCACACCATATTCACCTCGGGGCGGGTCATTAACCTTTAAGTATATCAACCCACACCAAAAAACAACTTTCTTATTCTGCCCCCCCTCCTGCAGGAATGAACTCTTCCAACAATATCCCTGTGAAAAATGGACTCTTCCTTCAAAAGTTACAACAGTGACCATACCAATATTCCAGGTCATTTTGTGTTGGAGTTATGATGGAGGAACACAAGATATAAATTAATTTTTGGTCTGAAAATTGCAAAATATCCCAAATAAATAAAGCGGTGTATGGCAGAATTACATGTTAAGTCCTGTGGGCATGTGTCCTATGCATCTTCATGCCAAAATTCAAGTTATTTGCTTTTAATACCAGGGCATAGGAGGCAAAAATATACAATTTTGTATATATAATTGTCTTCGTCAGAAGGACTATGAAATTGTCTCGCCGGAGTGTGGGGAACTGCGGATTTTGCGATATAACTCTGGAAGGCATGATTCAACGTCCATGATTTTTGGCAGGCAGATTACCGTTGTTGAGGCCAAAGTCAAGTACAAGTTTCGGCTTCGTGGGGGGTCCGTGCGTCACGTTAGTGGACCTTTTGTGTTTTTGGCTTGTTAGCAAGATAACTCAAGTATTTGTAAAATGTTGATTATAATTCTTGGTGTGGTGCTTACTATTGTCGGGACCAAGGTTAAGTTCGTTACTGAGCTTCGTGGGGGGTTTCGTTGTGACTACAGGGGGCATTTTGTTAATTTTTCTTTGAGCAGGATAACTTTTGTATGTGTGGATGGAAGTTAATGAAATTTGATAGGCATGTTACTGTCGTGGTCTCCAAGATTGAGTTCAAAGATGAGAGTCGTGGAGGTCGTTATGTCCCCGTAATAGGACCTTTTGTGTTTAGAAATCCCCCACCTACATCTGCTTGGAGACAGCCGACAGCTGGATATAGCCGGGAACCCCATAATGGGATGGGATCAAATGACGTTACATTGAGGGATTGTACTATAACTTCAGCAGGGGGAGGATAGGTTGGACATATGTCAGGTTATTTTCTGCGGCCACACCAAGTAATTGCTATGGATGACGTCCACTGGAGACCTTAAATCTAATTACCTTAAATTTAAGGCAAGCACGTAGGGGGGTGGGACCTTAAATCTAATTACCTTAAATTTAAGGCAAGCACGTAGGGGGGGGGGCTAACACGGGTGACGACGCATCTGTATAATCTGCGGCAAACCGTTTCAGGGTGTTCTGTACCATAAAAGTAGTACAGAGATTCTTTTGTTCTTTAGACCAAATTGATTATTAAAAAGAGTGAAGAATACGCATGTTAATTTCTCTAGAACGATATACCTCTGACGAAGACATGAGATCTCCGACCTCTAGTTTTAAATATATAAAAATTTTGAAGTTACAATTTTATATATATAATTTTAAATATATAAAAATTTTGAAGTTACGTAATATATACTAAGCCAGAAGTGTAATGGATATCTGTGGGCATACACATGTATGTCCAAGTTACCCCCTATGCCAAATTTCCAGACATTTTGCTTTTAATACCAGGGTGCAGGAACCCAGAATATACAATATTTTTTGGTGTAGAAATAGCCAAAAAGTCCCAAATTATATGTATGTATAAATTTCAAAATAGAGTACGCCAAAATAATTAGTGAATTTCTTTGGGCACACCCACAAGGCAACAAATGTTAGGTCTTTGGTACCGGTTGTAATATTCATCATCATCATCATCATTCATCCTCTGTAGTATTAGAGTATAACTTTTGACCGAAAATAGCAAAAAATCCCATTTTTCACAATTTTGAAGTGGTGCAAACATATACTATGTCAAAGGTACCCTTATACCAAATTTCAGGTCATTTGGGTCTAATAAGGGGCTCAGGAGCCCAAAACATACATTATTGGTCTACAAATGGCCAAATAGCTCTGAGTCAACAAAACATGTCAGGTAATTTGGCCCAGGCATGACCAACATGGATCCCTTTGCTGATTTGACAGCTGCATAATGAGAAAAAGGGAGAAAAACCCCAGAGAAAGCAACATATCTCATCTATACCATGGTACGGAGTGAAATATAATTAATAAATTTGGTAACACTAATAGATGAATCAGATTTAGTCATAAGTTATGTGAACCTGAAGCTACATGTATATCCATTCATCAAGTTTTATTCCAGGTGACCAGCAACAATCAAAATGCACATCCACAACCAGTTCACTATAATATACAGTATCATAATATTGAAGACTAAAAATTGAATGTAAATCTTACAACCTTTTGTCAAAATATCATAATCTCTTTACATTAAAGCATGTAATAAACAACATGGTTCAAACAAGTCAAAATGCATCAGTACAAAATCTTGGTAATGATCTTGTCATTCTGGAAGTGGCTACATCTTCCTACAAGGCTACAATTATCTGTTAGGCAAAATAGAGCATGAATTCACTGGCCTTTATTTTTTCAGGGCTAAAATGCTCTCCCAAAAGTATTACCCGCAGATTTCAAAACAATGTAACGTTACAACAGAAGCCCTATCCTGGCAACAATATAGTAATGGGGCAGCCAACATCAATGCCCTTTTAACAGAAGTTCACAATTTGATTCTTGAAAAGTTTGCATCTCAAGGCACATATGATTCAACAATATCACTCTACAGTCAATACGTGTGAATACTGCGTGCACAGGCAGAATAATGTGTATGATGACTAATTTATATAATGTCATAATTTCACATCAGTGTCAATGGGTACCAAGGAATTGAATTAAAAAAAGGAGTTTGGATGATGGTCATGTCATTTCTTCTTCAGTGAGTACAGTAACTGCAGCAATTCATGGTGAAGTAACTGTGTGGATGGTGTTCAGCACCAAGGGCAGGTATATTTGCCTGTGTGTGGACGGTGTTCAACACCAAGGACAGGTATGTTTGCCTGTGTGTGGACGGTGTTCAGCACCAAGGACAGGTATGTTTGCCTGTGTGTGGACGGTGTTCAACACCAAGGACAGGTATGTTTGCCTGTGTGTGGATGGTGTTCAGCACCAAGGACAGGTATGTTTGCCTGTGTGTGGATGGTGTTCAACACCAAGGACAGGTATGTTTGCCTGTGTGTGGATGGTGTTCAACACCAAGGACAGGTATGTTTGCCTGTGTGTGGATGGTGTTCAGCACTAAGGTCAGGCATGTTTGAATTTGTGTGGATGGTGTTCAGCACTAAGGTCAGGCATGTTTACCTGTGTGTGGATGGTGTTCAACACCAAGGACAGGTATGTTTACCTGTGTGTGGATGGTGTTCAGCACTAAGGTCAGGCATGTTTGCATGTGTGTGGATGGTGTTCAGCACTAAGGTCAGGCATGTTTACCTGTGTGTGGATGGTGTTCAGCACCAAGGACAGGTATGTTTGCCTGTGTGTGGATGGTGTTCAACACCAAGGACAGGTATGTTTACCTGTGTGTGGATGGTGTTCAGCACTAAGGTCAGGCATGTTTACCTGTGTGTGGATGGTGTTCAACACCAAGGACAGGTATGTTTACCTGTGTGTGGATGGTGTTCAACACCAAGGACAGGTATGTTTGCCTGTGTGTGGATGGTGTTCAACACCAAGGTCAGGCATGTTTGCCTGTGTGTGGATGGTGTTCAACACCAAGGACAGGTATGTTTACCTGTGTGTGGATGGTGTTCAGCACTAAGGTCAGGCATGTTTGCATGTGTGTGGATGGTGTTCAGCACTAAGGTCAGGCATGTTTACCTGTGTGTGGATGGTGTTCAGCACCAAGGACAGGTATGTTTGCATGTGTGTTGATGGTGTTCAGCACTAAGGTCAGGCATGTTTACCTGTGTGTGGATGGTGTTCAACACCAAGGACAGGTATGTTTACCTGTGTGTAAATGGTGTTCAGCACTAAGGTCAGGCATGTTTGCATGTGTGTGGATGGTGTTCATCACCAAGGACAGGTTTGTTTGTCCTAGATGTGTGTGTGTTTGGCGTTCAGCATAAGTTTCGGGAAATAGAATAATTACTTGTGTATATAGTCACACCCTGGTTCCCATAAAAATTTCCAAATCTTCCCGTCCATGTGTCATCCAATGGACCTGTACTCATCCATAAGAGTACTTTCTACATTGTACATGTAATTCAAAGTACTAACCTTTGATTGCAAAATACCCATTGGCAACTAGATTTCACCCTTAAATTCAAGAGTTAAATAGATATATCGGTGGAAAAAAATTGATAATGACAGAGAGATTTGTTGGCTACCGGTACTTTTTTTTTTGAGATAATATTCTTCAAGTTGATGCATTAATTTTTCATTCAGACAAGCAACTTGAATGATCATTATAGGAAGGAATTTCTGTTGTTTTCACCAATGCAACATATTCAAATAATATGCTCTATACTTTTTAGCACCATTGCTCTTCATCATAATAAATTATCATACAGTGTAAAAGAATTCATCAATATTTTCTAAAAAATGAGAAACGTTTATGCATTTGTTTGCAATGTTGGCTTTTCGTGTCATACATAATACATGTACACACATCATGTACATGTATATTTCTAATTTTCCTTCCTTATGTTCACTTTGACCTGAGGTTACTGAGATTATCAAGACAGGTCCAACTCCAAATAATTTTATGAAAATTCGTTGTTACTCTCCTTCAGCTGGCTTCAACTGTTTCTTGCTTCAATAACCTTACATTAGGCCTCATCCTACACATTTGTGAACAGGATTCTATCTACAGGTATGGTACAGTCAAACTTGCCCAAGCAACCACCTCTAGAGGCTGACAATCTGACCATGATGACCATTTCTGGGTCACAATTTTTTCCCAATAGACACCAACCTGACTACCACTGCCACGATTTGAGACCGTCACTGCACATGCATGGCCCCATCTCTGACTATCATGACTGTATAATTTTCAAGTGTTGGCTGAAAACGTTTTTTGATGATAACTACCTGGTAGTGAGAAATCCTGATGGACTTCAACAGCATGTCAGTCTTTGCACTTAGTCTTGTAAAATGTCTCTGAGTCTGACTGGGTCACTTTGGATCACATTGGGACAGTTTATTGCGAAATAGGTGGAAAAATAGTTGCAGTTTTGTCAACATGCTTTGTGTAGAAAGCTAAGAAGACCACTCAGTCTGCATGTCTTAGACAAGTTTGACTGTACCTACAATCTTATCTTAATGAGGAAACCTTCTTCACAGCTAACCCAGATCAGTCCTTCTTGTCTCCCTTTCCCTGCAGGATCTTGCCAGCAGGCGTGCTCCGTAACTGCTCTGTGATCTGTGAAACAAGGAAATAAACTTTACTTCCTTCATGCAATGCTGCTTTAAATTTGTGTATATGTGAAATTGCAAAATAAAAACTACTAAAAAATACATTTTATTCATAGTTTAACTATGAATAAAATAGATTAATAATCTAAGTAATATGCAAACTATTTACTAAAGTGAACTCCTTTATAGTAATGCACTAACTAATACTGTTAAGTTATAATTGTGCAATTTTATATTGGCAATTTTTACCCGAAAACCTTGAAAGCTCCTAAAATTTGGAACCAGAAATAGAATACACACAATAATTATAGGAATTTTTTCCTTCATTATTAATATCATGTTTTATCAATTTAGTAATTTAAAGTAGTAAATAATTAATTACCTGCTCAGGGTAAAATTGCGATACTTTCTACACAAAACTTAACATTAAATTAGGACTGACTACTTATTACCAACCTGAAAGTGATTTGGTCAAGACATTATAAGTCTTGGAGCTCATAAAATGACTGGTTTTGATAGTCAGCAGACAAAAGACACTGATGTATACAGGTATAAGGTAGTGGTGCGCGCTAGGCCTGGCCCTGTCATGGTCCACTGTCTGGATCTAGTATAACTATGTTTAGTAACGTTACATGTAATTACTCTGAGTGTTTGAAAGAAAAGTTAGGCCACACCAATTTGATTTGTTGTTTCTCGGATTTTTTCAGAAAAATATGAAGCGACAGGAAAAAAAAAAAAACAGGCCAAGGCACCCCATGATAGCTGGAAATAAAACCCCGATAAAAAAGCCTAAAAACACGCTAAAAATACCCCCAAAACCCAAACCTCTGCTTGGAGAGTAATTAAGACAATAGATTTTGAACTTTTAATGAAACAAAATTACATTGTTACATTGAAAAACTAGTAAGAAAAGGACTTTCTTCAACCGTTGGGGTCAAAATATGTCTTTCATTGAGCATTTTGCAGTTGATACAGAACCAAAAAAAGATTTTTTTTTTCAAATCTGAAAAAGTGGACAGGGCAGTCCGAGAAACAACGAATTAAATTGGTGTGGCCTTATGGGAAATAGATGTTAAACATGAATGTGTTACCTTTTGCAGCGGTGTTTCTCCTTCCTCCACTATCTGTACTGGAGCCATCTCTATCACATCCATCTTCACGTCATCCTCATCTTCTGTCCAGAGGAAGTTTGGGGGAGGGAGGGCGTATTTCTCCCCTCGACTGGACACCAGCCACTGCAGGGCCACAAACAGGACGTTGGCGAGCACCGAGCCACCGAGGGAGAAGTACATCAGCCACATTGGACTCCTCTCAAACATGGTCCCCACCAGTACAGGCATCACCATCTCACCAAAGGAAGCCCCGACCACAAACACTGCTGCAGCCTTGCCTGTCACGTGGATGTAACGCTCCGCCCAGGAGATGGCAGAAGGAAAGACTGTCGATATCGAGCCGCCAAAAATCCCTGTGGCCACAAACAACAATGTCCTGTTGTGTTCTGCGTACACACAGAGTCCAAGGGAAGACACTATAGCTCCGACCAGGTTAAGCAATAAGATGACTTTGACAGACAGGCACTTTGTTGTGAAGATGGCCGTGCCACGTACAAGGGAGAATGTCCCCCAAAACAGGGTGTTCAGTCCCACTGCATCATCTTTAGACAGATGGAGCTTGCTCTTGGTTCCAAAGCTGAATATGAAAGACCCATAAGCCACCTCCACTCCGACGTAGATGAAAAAGAAGAAGAAGAGCAGAACCAGGACTTTGACGGTGAAGGCTCTGTCTGGTTCAGAGGCACCGTGTGGAACCTGCTGTCCACCCAGAAACTTGTAGGAGCTGGTGCAGTAAAACACCATGAATGTTATACCAACAAGAAACTGGAACACCCCAACAATCAAATACGCCCATCGTATGGGGCTCAACTTGGACATTTCTGACATGATGGACTGAACGAGTTCCTTGCCTTTCGTGTAGACAGCGTTAATCTTGTCAGGCACTGAGCTTGTGTGGGTAGTGTTCTGTTTCCCCTCAGGAGTGGTGCTTGTATCTCGTTTAGTTGTTTTTCCCATCAGTTGTTTGGTTGACAGTGGCTGACTGGTTGATGGCACATTTTTGTCTGGAGTCTCTTCATCTTCCAATGGACCTTGATTGTCGTGATGATGATGATGATGATGATGGTGATGTTGACTACTGTCAGGATCTCTTTCCGCTGCTGCAGTGTCGTCAGCACTGCCCTCCTGCTCCTCCAGAAATGGACTCTCCCTTCCATCAGAGAGGTTCTTCATCTGTTTCGGTTCCTCTTCACCAGATCCAACCTCCTCCGATCCACCCGTCAGCTCTCTCCTCCTGGGTTGATGAAGAACATTACCAGAAGCCAGGGTCTCAGATGTGAAGAGACCGTGGCTAGACATGTCGACGTTTTTTTCATGCTGGATATTTTTCCACCTTCCTGTCCAACTGATAGATGTACCCATCACCCCTGATTGCTTGTTCTTGGTATCCTTTTCACTGTTTGCTAAGTTTGTATCATAAGTTCTGTAGAAATTACTATTCCATTTGCTGGCAAGTCCAACGTCTTTGTTGCTGATTCCATTTTCAGGAAGAGTATCCAGCATTTGCTGCTGAGAGTCTAACTGTTGGGGGTATCTATTAACAGACTGGTCTATCTCCACACCAGACAGGTTGAGTACATGTCTCCTGTGCGGTGCGGCAGGCTGACTGCTGGGCTGTACAGTGGTGTTGATCAGGACAGAGCTGTTGCTGCTTGACAGGCTGATGAAGTTCTTGGCCAATAAGGGTGCAATGAATGCTCCCATGCCAAAACTGAAGTGTAGAGCCTGCATGTAAGGAGCTGATCTCTGTCCCCAAAGGTTCAAACACAGGACGTTGCCTCCTGTAAACACAGGAAAGGAAAAAGACGGCAGATATGAGCTCCAATGTCATTTAAAAGAGATGTAAAAAATAGTGCCAGAAAAAGCTGTAAGGAAAAGATGTCACAGTTTTAAGTAACTAAACTGACCCCTTGAAAAATATCTGCCAACCCTTAATTCATTTTTGGCTCAGATCAAAGAAGCCCCACAATCACTTGTTCAGATGTGACTGTAGAAAATCCTGCTTAAAATACTTTATTTACGACTACTTAGGAATGATAACTATTTTTAAACCTCTGATTGCACTTACATGTAGTACATGGCACAGATATTGTAAAATAAATTGTGACTCAGTACAATATATCTTAAGACAAAGGTTAACACATACCTGTGTCCAGGAAGCCCATTGCCACCCCTGTGAAGGAGATGAGTACACCCATGATGGACAGTCGTTTGGCCCAGGGTATCACAGCAAAGCCTGGGGCAAGAAGAATGTTTTATCTATATTATACATGTATACATTGTATAATCACTGAGTTACACACGGTGTCACATGCACTAAATATGTTTAGGATATTAAGTGGCATAACTTTTAAGTTTGATTTAAAAATCATTTCATCATACAATTTCATTTTTCTTCTTTTGTGAAACATGTTTTCAATTGCTTTTAACCAAAAAAAAAACAAGAACAAAAAAAAAACAAAGAGGGGTGATAAAAAATTTTGTGACACAGAAAAATCATTCTTGTACTCATCAGCAGTCAGATGTTTTTTTGGTTAGTATACATAATTAATATGATTTTTTTGCAACTTTTTGTCACATATTATCAACTCATTCTTTGGAAATTGGCCCCCTATATAGATATCACTAAAGTCTAACAAAAAGATAATCCTTACCTACCAAGCCTAATTTTTTCAGGACTGAAACAGGAAACATAACATTTTTTCCTAGGCCTAACACCTGAGAGATGAAACATTGTACAATGAGTTTTCCAACATTGACATTGAATATCAGTTGGATCACTAGAGATCGCCAAAGTCTAATAAAAAAAAGACCCTAACTTTTGTCAAGACTGAAACAGTTAACACAACATGTATTACCTATGGCGTTGAGGAGGAGACTCAGTCCCAGCAGCAGGTGTTGGTCGAACGTGTCAAACAGGACGCCTCCGACGGCAGACCCCACCAGGTACCCGACGGAGCGTGCCGTGAAGATGTAGGAGATGTGAGCAATGTCGGCGTGGACGTTAGCCGCCAGGTCCAGCAGGGTGGGACCGACCATGGCGATACACACCCCCTGCAAATAAACACATTTATGTCATTTTCCAGTGCATTTATTTATTCATTTTGGTTGAAGATACTGACAATGTAATATCATTTCTCGTAATTGATTGTGTATTTTTATTGTCCCAGAACTACCTGAAAAACAGGACAAATAACCTGAGTGTAACCTTCTGGTAAAATAAAAACATAAACTGATAAATTATACTTAGGCCACACCAATTTAATTTCTTGGTTAACGTATTTGCCCGCTCACATTTTTTTCTGATTTGCAAAAAAAAATTCAGAATCAACTGCAAACTGCTCACATTTTGCCGTGAACAGTTGAATACAGTCCTTTTCTTCCTAGTTATTACAGTTATTCCATCTTTCAATGCAGTGGTATCATTAAAAGTTCAAAATTCATTGTTTAAATTTTGAACCAGCCTGGTGTGTTGACTTCATGGCTCCTATCGTACCATTTTGGGCTGTAATAGGATGCCTAGGCCTGTTTTTATTTATTTATTTTTTTTGTCCCGTCCCGCTCCATTATTTTTCTAGAAAACTCCGTTAACCAAGAAATTAAATTGGTGTGGCCTAAATGGAAGAAGAAAAGATGTACCAATCCCAGGAAGGCTGCACACAGTGCGTATGTCCTGAGGTAGACTCCACCACAGCACCTCTCCCTGTCCTGACTCCTGCCCACAGGGACATTGTTGTTAGTGTGCCCTCCAGCCTCGCCGTCCCCACGAGAGTACACTGTCTGGTCCTCATCCGTCAGGTCTGCCTGGGGCAGCCGCTTGTACTTGGGCTTGGAACTTGGCATGATGCTGTCATGTTCTAATACAAAATAGACATTCGCATGAAAGTTCATCTGAGTTGGTAATAAATTACATTATGAAAAAAATTAAACTGTTCTCCAACTCAGTCTTCCTCAGCT